AGATATTGCCGTGGGGTTAGTAAGAAAGTTGAGGTTCTTACTTACGGTTTTATAGATGTTTTTGTACTTATTCCGAGTTGCGGTGATCCGCCTGGGCTGTTGCGGGCTGGTTTCGAATGGAGGCGACGAAGGACCAGTGTTTGCTGGCCTGATACCTGACTCGGGGTATATTCCTGGCTGACGCTGGTTTTTACGAGTTGTGCTCGGATTCAATCCTTAACTGGTGAGACTCCCGCTTGACTGAGGATATGTACCCAAACCACTCCTGGTCTAACCTCAATGCTGCGCAGATCCTTTAACTATACGTATGGCTGTGACTACCAATTGGTCGCACCAGCTACCAGGGATGCACTGATTCCTTCAGGGAAAATGTTATTTTGCGCAATCACAGATCAGGCCAGAGGGACCGACTACCGGAAACCGACGAACAATATAGGAATCTTAATATTTGCCTTAGGCCATCCAGAGAACTACCGCGTATACAATGCAAACGAGCTTCTGTAGTTCAAAGTGACTTCAACAATACTTTATTGTTTTAAACAAAACTTATCGAATTAATTGCAACACAAGTGCGAGTTAATAAAAGGAGGGTTATTTGGCAAACCACGTCCGAATAATGCGGTAGAAAATTCTAAGTATAAAAATGCAAACAACTTCTGTCACTCGTTACTTCAACTAGTTAAGTACTTTGTGTATATATATGTGCTTACAAAGTGCTGAATGATAGTTGCCATCATTTGCCGCATTCACTACTATACATAGTCGCCTTAGTGGCCGTATTCACTATTCTAGTTAGTTCAGTACATGTTTGCGCAAGCTTTGTGTATTCAATAATGCTTGTCAATATGTAAGTATGTAATTCAATATACATATAATTTAGATAAATTCAATTCTGCATACATGTGCATAGGTGGGCACATGAATATATAAAATAAAATACAATGTGCATGTAGGTGAAAACGTATTCTTGTAGCCTCTGCTAAGGTGAATGTGTAGCGCTCTCTTCAACAGAACGGAAATCCAAAACCTAATGAAAATTCTTCAACATAACATACAGTCGCTTAATGCTAATTTACATACCTTAGAATTTTATCTTAATAACTACAAGTATGACATTGCAGTACTTAGTGAAACTTTTTCACATCAGGGGTCAACACCAAAAAAAATATTAAATTTTAACTCAGTGTCGAAAAACAGACAGGACGGCTATGGTGGGGTTGCCATAGTTCTAAAAAAACACATCAAATTTACTAAAATTAGATATATCACGCAATATGATATTCTAATAATCCAATCGCGAAACCTAATACCAAATGTGGTGATATGTGCTGTGTATTTTCCCCCAAACATACCCATCAATGTGTTCAATGACGAGATCAAGAAGTTGTTCGGCGTCCTTGAAAACTACACAAATGTACTACTATTGGGCGACTTTAATGCTAGGGCCACTCAGTGGGGTGACACAGTCAACTCATGCCGAGGTAAGAATCTATACAACATTGTTCAACAACACAACTTTTTTCTTTTAAATGACGGTTCCATCACTTTTCAAAGAAATATTAACCAAGTAGCAGGGTCAGTGTTAGATCTCTCATTTACCAACACAAGTCTACAACTGCAATGGTCTGTTGACCCTATTAGAATAGGGGGAAGCCACCACTTCCCTATCACCATCAATACACAAACAGTGACCAAGGGACCGACCACATTTGTAGCTCAAAAAATATTACATGAGGCGCTCAGGAATGCGCAAACAGAACCCAATATACCAGACATTGAAAACATGACGAAAAAAGAAATACAAAATGCAACCTATTATCTAAGTAGTGATATAACACCTAAAGCCTGGTGGAATAAGGAGTTGGAGAAGACCTTCAGACTACTCAAAGTAGCTCAGTACAAATGCAGAAGGTTACCTTCTATAGAAAATCTTGATCAGGTAGCGGAAACAAAGACGTTATGGAAAAAATGGTCAAATAAGCTAAGAAAAATAACTTTGAGGAGAAAATAATGGAAATCAATTATCAGCCCACAACAAGAACTGCATGGAGGTTCGTTAAAGCCATGAGAGGGGACTATCAGAACAGCAATAAGACCCACTGGCCCAAAGAAGACAACTTGAACTTTTTAAACATGCTCAAACAGCAGGTAGCTTCCAGTGAAGTTTCACTAGAAAGAAATAAGGAAATAACTCCTGATTGCAGCTTAGCGATAACTTATGAAGAATTAGTGGAGACATTAAGGAAAAAGAACAACAACTCGGCAGGAGGCTATGACCGAATCACCTACAAGATGATTAAGTCATTACCTGACAACACTCTTAACAACTTACGCACTGCACTAAATGATGTTTTCCTCACAAATCAACTTCCTGACAGCTGGAGAACGGTTAAGGTGGTACCGATCCCAAAAAGTGACAAAAACTTGAACGATTTTAGAAATTTTCGCCCAATAGCACTGATATCTGTTTTACTAAAATGTGTTAATAGCTGCCATAAAAATAGAATAGAATAATTTCTTGACTCAAATAACATCCTTCCCTATACAACTTTTGCATATAGAAAGGCTCACTCAGCCACCATGGCTGTAAACTACCTAATTCAGGAACTGACCATTAACAAACAAAAAGGCAGGAAAATTATTATCTGTTCCGTTGATATCAACAATGCCTACAATTGTGTAAACATCACAAAACTAGCGTCCATATTAAGTAATATAGGGATTCATGAAAACTATACGGAATGGATAGTAAACTTTCTAGCTTTCAGGAAACTCACACTGGCAGGAGAAACCACTGAAATCAATGGTGGTCTACCACAGGGTAGCTGCCTGTCCCCGATGCTATTCAACATTTATACTATGCAGCTACATTCAATTAGGGACCCGAACACAGACATTTGTCAATTTGCACATGACTTCATCATTGCCTCGTATGGAGATACTGTTGAAAACGCCACACACATATTACAACGTAAAATTGATCAGTTTGGCCATGAATGCTCAAACCTAAACCTCACATTCAATCCAACTAAAACCAAGATTCTATTTGTTAGTAAAGGTAGTTCCAAACAAATAAACATAAATTATAATAATGTTCGGATAGAACAGTCAAACTCAATAAAATTTCTTGGAAGAAACATTAATTCGTCACTCACGGTCACAGAGCATTACAACAATGTCATTAAAGAATCTACAAACAACTCCAAACTGTTCAAACTAATCACAACAGTCAAAGCGGGACTACAACCTAAGGTTGCGACCCAATTCTGTAAGGCGTTTGTTCGGTCCAAAATTGAGTACTGCAGAACCTCCACAGCCAATAGCAGCAATACCACCAACAAAAAAATCGGAACATTTCATAACAGTTTTTTGAGAAGAGCACTAGGAGTAACCCCAGCTACGCCAATTCCAACCTTATATGCAGTTGCAAATGAGCTACCACCCCTGGAGAGATCCAAATGGCTCACTGCCAAGGAAATAACCAAAATATTAGCATCTGACAACCCCTTTAGACTGTCCATTATCAACAACCCCAGCATTAATACCAGCTATAGCAAAGTATATGCTGAATTCAAAGCCTTCTTTGATCGCCTTGGTGCGGTTGAGCATGAGCCCCTTCCACAAAATCTCATTGTCAAGACCAACATGTTACCTAATAGTAAACAAAACACGCCCAGAGAATGTGCCTTAATGATATACAAACAAACCGTAAGTGATTATATAAACAGCAATTTCAAAATATTTTTCTCAGACGCATCTGTACAAAACGATTGTACAGGATGCGGTTTATACGACTTTTCTGCCAAAAAAGAATATGCATTTAAAATTAACTTCAAAACGTGCTCAAGCTTTGGTGAAATCCAAGCGATTAAAAAAGCCATTGAAATTGCTATAAACCTGAAATATGAAAAATCTGTGATATTTACAGACAGTTTAGTAGCTTGCCCACTACTAAAGAAAAAACAGACTGACAACTGCAATGTAGGAGAGATACATAAATTAATGAATACTAATGACATAAGGGTACACTTAGTCTGGAACCTTGAACACATAGGTATAGAAGGGAATGAAAAAGCTGACTAAATTGCCAAATCAGCTACTACAGCATCACTAATGCTGCAAGTCAAATTATCTATCAACGAAACCAGCAGACTAATTTATAATCAGATTAGGCAAAGTTGGTACAATGAATTTCTTCAATTTTCTAGTCAAAATCCAAACCTATTTGCCAATATTTTCACCAAACCAACAAAAAAGCCATTGTACAACAAAAGCCCTCTCTCCCCCAAACAAACCAAGATTATTAACAGAATACTAACTGGCTACACATACGATCAGGCCTATTTTCATAAAATTAAAATCGTTCGCTCAAATAGATGTATTCGCGGCCTCGCCAGCAACTTTGAACATCTCACGTTACACTGTGAAGATCTCAAAAACATCAGAGACAAGTACCCGGTAGTTAAAGATTCGAATAACTGCACAAATTTTTCAAGGTATGAATTTTAACAAAATACGACAACTGGTTGACTATTGATGAAGCACAATTAAATTTTTAACTTTCTTATACATCGATGATTGGCTTTGCCTACTTCAATGCTCGCGACTTCACTGTCCAACCTTCTCTACGCTACTTCGGTTCAAGGTTAATCAGACCTTTCGTTACAAAACAAACGCGCCATCAAAAAACAATCTCGCCACTCCAAACGAACGCATCTACCACAATCGATAACCGTATATGTCTTCAAAAGTTGCAAGTCTTTATTGCTTACCCCTGAAGGAACAAGCTGCTTAATTATCAAGGATTGGTGAACACAAGTATTCACCAACTAGTGGAATAACCTGGCGTTTGCGAGCGACCCCTCTGCCATCACACTAATATCACAAAAAAAAAAAAAATACACCTTAGTTTTGAGCTAACAAGTTAATTTCAAAGCCACTGTTTTTTTAAACAATTTATTTCAATAGTTTAATAAATTTTCCTATTTTTTTGCTTTTAGTTATGTACGCAAATTGATGAGCTTCAAAGGGAACTAGCCGTTGTTGATGAACAAGAACAGTACCTATTTAACGCTTTTTCTGTGGCTATTAATGATTCGTACGAAAAGGAGAAAATTCATTCCAACATGATTAAAGTTTTTGGCATACTTGGAACGTTATTGGGCTCATTTATAACATTTGTTCTCTCAGTTGTTGGACTATTATACAACCAAAAAAAATTATATACACTCCGTAAAGATGTCGAAAGCTCAATAACCGAGCAAGTGATCCAAAAATTAGACAAAGTGGCAAAAGATCTAAAGGAACATCATCAAAGAACTTATCTTAAGGAAACACAGCATTTATCAGAAAAGCCCGCTGAATCATGGGCGTCATATGTGAATCGTCACACGCGCTGGATTTATTCTTGGGCCATTCCAAAGAAGTCCTAACACTTTTGTTAAAATTGCAAATTTTACATGGACTATTTTTTTCTCAATAAAACTGTGCTTCGTAACGTGCTGTTAATTTATGATTACACTGGCAAACGAAATCGGAGCTTGTGATTGAGGAAATTATGCACGACTTCGGTCGTTAGAACCCGAGAATAGCTGCTACTTTCTGCTCGTGGAACAAAAATTAGCCGCTACCAAAGGAAAAAAGAGCTGTCGCTTTCATTAGACTTAGGCCCCTATTATGAGTTGCATTCGATATTCGACTGTGGTCGAAAGTGCTGATTGAACGAATTTTCATTTGGTATTATGTCGCTCATTCGATGAAGAATAGCGTTGTTGTGAATTTCGCTCGTTTAGGTTGTTCACCATAGTATATTTTTCACCGTTGAGAAGCTTTGTTTACAAATCGAGCAAACTAAATAGTGTGCTTATACATATATACATATGTAAATTTGTGCAAATTAAAATGAAATAGAAAAAAAAGCGATTTTATAAAAACGTGGTAAAAAAAATTTTAATTAGTACAACGCAGTTCTGGTTGAAAGATTCGTCAGAGGATAAGAGCTTAGCAAACTCGCCAGGAGCAGAAAACGTTTAAGAAAGGTTAACTGCAGTCTTTCGAATATATTTTGACATACAATATATTTATGAAATTTTGTGATCCAAATCTATTTAAAATATATTAAAACTATAAACAGCTCTGTGATTTTGTCCTCGTGCCAACAGCGTATCGGGATTTACTTGCATAAGTAAAACCAGACTTCCGAGCTTGTGTTTAGTATTCATGACGTTAGAACTGCATGAAGTTAATAAAAATTGTTTAAAATTAGTGTCTAGCCGCCAAAAAGTAAGAAAACAAATGCAAAATCATACATTTTTACAATTTTCTAACACTTCGCTACACCAACGAAGGCAAAATTCTGTTCGACAGAAGATTCGATACTCCACGAAAATTTCGACACACTTGCATAGCTCATAACATGAATTTCACTTTCGACCTCGATCTTCGATAGCCAGCGAAGATCAAAAATCGAATGCAACTCATAATATGGGCCTTAGTTCTTATATTTATTTTTTTTTTTATAAAAAAAGAATGAAAATATGGTAATACTATGCCGCAGTGTTGTAATTAGCTTGGGATTATTTAACTTTTAATACGTTTTTCAGTGTGCTGTTCATTTCTACTAGATTGCGCTTATTTGATTTCACATTTTCGTTCTTAGCGCAATATTCTGTTACTCTGTCTCTGGTCTGCTGGAAAAACATATTTCTAATGCATTGTTTGAAGCTACAACCATGGGAATATATATGGAACTTTTGATTTTCGACATTTGAAAAAAAAACAAACTTGTGGCACACTTATCTAAGCGATTTCATCTTATCTTTGAGCCTTGAAACACATGTAAGAAAATGGAAACTCAGTTTTCAAGCTCGGTAATGTAAAAGAGATAGTAAAATCCTAAATGAATTATAAAAAACACAGGACATAGTATGTTTTTAGGGTCGCTGAACACGAATATGAAGTCCGACCTTTTTCCACACCTGGTCTGGTTTAAGTGCAAGTTTGGAGTAGCTAGGATTTACCGTTGATTTTGGGAAATTTTTTTGTTGAAGGCGTTGCTCGTTTTCTCTATGTAAAACAAACTAGCAGACCCGGCGAACTTCGTCCCGCCCAAAATAAGTTTTTTTTATTGAAACTTTTTGGTCCAGCATTTTCACCAACAATTCACGTTTACGGTTTTCATTGGCATATTCATCTGCTAAGATTACGGTTTGGTGGTCATTTTCCGCTTTAAATAACCTAACGAAAGTGTTATGTACGTGAAAAAGTTCTTGAAACTCTCGCAAAACGAAATCAATTTGAAGAAGTTTTTCCTCTTCACTCTCTGGCGGCAACAATGATCCGGTTCTATAGTGAATCTGTCCTAGAATCTTTATAGTATAGTTGGTGGCGATTTCAAAATGGGTGCGTGTCATTGTTCTACAGAAATGCAATATACATATACTTATTTCAGACGAAATAGCTTAAAAGCTTAAACGTAAAATAATATTTGAAAATCACATCCATTGGAGAGTACGATATACTCAATGGTGCAACAGGTCGATTTAATCTGACATTCACGGCACCTTTACACACTTGGCTGTTTTTTGTAATCAGCCCTATCATGCATTTCGATTACGTTCCCGCATTCCGCTCCGCACGACTTGGTATTGTGGGTTACGATCGAATCGAAAGAAGAAGAGGAAGAGCGAAAACATCTTCGAAATCAGCTGGTTACCTAGGAATGTGTGAACTCGAAACAAAACAAAGTTTGCCACCAAACTATAGTAGCTTATGAAGTTAAAGTTATATATATAATAACTGAACATATCCAACATCATTGCAATTTAAAAATAAAATTTCGTTTGTTCTTAATTTAAGTGGAAACATAATTATAAGAATGAAATCCATAGCCGGTCCGTTATTGCTTGAAGAGGGAAACGAGTTCCAGATTGCCGTTGCGGAAGTTGAAAGGCGGAGATTTAGGGACATGTTTGATCTTTTTCAAATGAGTGAATAATCATAAGAAATTCATCTTGAACTGTGTTACTCACCGCTCAAGGCCAGTGAAATTATAAACTTTGTTTGGGCACTGCACAACAAACAAAACATTTCACTGAACGCAAATGAATTCGAATTTGAAAGCCATCAGGAGGGGAAGAACAAAGCTTATCCTTCCATAGCAAATTGGATTCGAGACAACATACGCACCTCTTTGTAAAAAGTGAGTAAAAAAGAGTTCAATAATAAAAACATCTTTTTGATGTAACCCCACATGTTATGTATGTACGTATGTACATACATCTATTAATTTTATATAAAAAGAATAAATTGCATTCAGTGCATTTCACAGTCTTATTTATAGATAATGAAAACAACAACGCCTGGACTTCCTCTTTGAAACCCCCGCGCAATATAACTTTTGGTGGCCATCATTTGAGGCAATTTTTCGTATTGCCCGTATTGCCGCTCACGAAAAAACAGAAATGGAGAAAATTCATTTATGATGACTTTTACAATCATGCACAGTATATTTCACTTAATTTTTTTTTTTATAAAATTTTATTTAAACCCACGAAAATAACAATCGAAACGTTCTCCGTCAACAAATTTGCATCTTAGAAAAACGGAACTACGATCGAAATGTAGAATAAAGGGTGAACACACCAAAACTGCGACACTTTGGGAAGCTTATAACTTACACAAAACGAATTCAATATTTTGAAATTCAAATACCTTAGTTGAAGGTAGAAGAAATTTCATTTGAATTTGATTCCTAGTTGAGTTAAAAATGGCAACCGAGCTAGAAACGGGACAAACCATTTTGCACGAGTTTATAAATGATCCGGCCTTAAGTACACGTAAAATTGCTAAAAAATTAAAGAGTGCAGTATTCGACAGTTTGCAGGGTTTTAATCGGTACAAATAAGGCGTGACAGTTACGAGAAAACCAGGGAGCGGGGGTTAGCATGGTCAAAGTGATAAAAACAGTGCTCGGAAGGTCCTCAGTGCGTTTTCGCGAGATCCGAAGATTTTGTCGCGTTATGTTGCAAAATCCGTACGGAGATCGCAGTTTTTCGTACAAAAGGTAAAGCGGAAAGCTTCATTGAGATGTTCTACAGCTCAAACAGCGCCAGACCGAGGCGCAAAGTATAATGTTACAGCGAAATCCCGCATTCGGAAGTTGTATGAATTCTAAATTAAAAAATACAACTGCATTGTTATGGACTGCGAAACCTACTGCTACAAGAATTCAAAATATATTGCAGGTCAAGATTTTTATACTGCTGCAAGTCGTCCAGATGCCCCTGAAAGTTGTAAGCTGAAAATGAAGTCCAAATTTCGAAAAACCACATGGTTTGGCAAGCTATTTGTTCCTGCGGCCGTAAGAGCAGCCCTTATTTCCCATCCGGGACAATGAATGATCAAGTTTATCGGGATGAGTGCCTCAAAAGGCGTCTTCTGTCATTTATCAACAGATAAGGAGAAAGCCATCGTTCTAGGCGGACATGGCAACCTGCCACTATGCCAAGGACACATTGCCGTGGTATAATGCAAATAACGTCAATTTTGTATCTCACGACTGCAATCCACCCAATAGCCCAGAGCCACGTCCTATTGGGGAATATTGGTCAATTGTCAAAGGAATCTTGAAGAAAACAGGTGAAAGAGTGAAAATTATTGAAGAGTGCAAAACAAAGTAGTTGTGCGCATCGCGTAATGTCGATGATGCAGTCGTGCAGAAAATGATGGCGCGTGTGCGATGAAAATACCGATCACTTGCATATGGAGCAAATAATAACTATTATTTTAACATTTTAATAACATCTAAACTTCCAAGTTATATAACACAAAAAAAAAATAATTTCAAAGCCTTCTAGTTTGTTTCTGGTAGTAATTTCTAAGTGTCGCAGTTTTGGTGTGTTCACCCTTTAGGTATAATCGTAAATTTCGAAGATTGATCGAAAGGAAACGGAACGCAGAATACCAAAGTTGCCAAACGAAGAAAATTTCGATTCGATTCGAAATGCAGAATAGGACGGAATAACTCGACTCCAGCGCCACTTGACAGCACTTATTTGCAATAGTATTGCTCTTACCATTACCAATACATATTTTAAATATAAGCCAAATCGGATCATAAATACAACTTTTATTTCTATCTCCTTCTTATATCCTAAGAGGCTGCTTGAAAAATAAAAACTAAGGGGAATCTGGGTAGCAGTATGGATTCTAGGCGGGTCTGCATACCTGGCTGTGCTGCGGCTTAGCTCAGGGAAAATGGGTATGAGCTGGCCCCGGTGCATACTGCGAATACCGTACAAAAACAATGTAAAAGTATGCAGAAACACCTACAGCGCCAACTGCAACCCTTGACTTCATTTACATACATTTCTCCGTACGAAGTTGCAGCACTGTACCATGAACACTTCCAGAGATGTACAGTATACAAGTTCGGTTTGTATGGGAGGTGCCACGCCCCCTTTTCCAATAGCTCCAATTTTTCTTCATGAGTATGCGATTTATTTCATATATCGCAATACCAAGTTCCAGTAT